AGTTTTATGAAAGTAGATCACCCTGGATATCGGTATTTTGTATTCGGTTCCATTTTTTTGTATTTCGTTATAGAGCTAGAAGTAACGTTCCTTGATGTATCAGTAAGGTGTCAGGTTCCGTCACTGTATTGCAGATCGTGATATTATCGGGAAAACTGCTATTTGTTGTCCCAGAACGTCTGCTATATCGCTTATAATATGTAGAAAAATATAAGGACCAGCACCGATCCTTGTGTAACCCGACTGGTTGCATCGATAGGAGTACGTGGTGATCCCGAAGCCCGATATGCCATGGTGCGTTGTCTAGGAAATTCTTGAAATTCTGTACGAGTTCCCGAACTCCATAATTGTATTTAAAATGTCGAACAAACCCTGTGTATTTTTATCGATCAGTTGTTGAATGGCCGAAAAACAGCTCGTTTCGCCTTCCAGACATTTCAATGTAGCCATGGGTATTCTTCATCATTCAAATCTGGTTTACTTACTTTCCGGATCTTTACTTTGTCAGCGTGCTTCGCTTTACGCTCTTCGATTTATTCCTTCCTCATTATTCAACTAAATGTGTAATCGAGATATATTAACCAGGACCGTTGAAAACCAATGTCCTAAGGTTAATAGCTGTGGAAACTGTAGATTCGAACAAGGATGTGCGGTATTCAATAACACATTTTGGAGGGAGTTACTAATCAGTCATCGTTTCCGTTTTCATCGGTAACCCTTATTAAGACCATTCGACTGCAAATCTATTGTAAACCACTCTATTCACTTGTACGTTATGTGGGCAATCATACTACTCAATGGTGGCTATTCTTCAGGTAGAATTGGGAATGGTCAACTAAAACTTGGAAATCACAATTCCGAGAACTTCATTGACCATATCTACAACGAATTGAGCCACATTGGAAAAAGCCTACGAGCAACCTTTTCAAGGAAACCAATAAATAATCAGCACTTTTTTAGCTGCGAACCCTTCGGGCCGTATAACAACTGAAGGATTCGTCTTTTATTAAACATGATGTACCTGTCGTCACAATACACATTCATCCATAACAATCCTACAATTTCGTCCCTCAATCCCTTAGTTGCTCACGATCCGTTTATCTCCCTGGGGAGTTGGCACAGCTACTCTCGACCACCATTGGTGCATGTTAATTTAGCATTAAAACTGCACTTATTTTCATTAATCTGGTTTTGATTCCCCCTTATTTTTCGCGATAGCATTTATTCTCCTTTGTTGAACATTAGGTTGTAACACATTCCGTTCTATCAAACTTCAGACTATATACGCTTCATTAGACCAACTCTTGCATTCTGGGCCACCGGACCTCACATTACGACCATCTGGGCGATGGAACAGTCCCATGCCCGCCTCGTCGCACGTGTTGGCTGACCTGATGGAACAGGCTGGTTTGTCAGATTGGCTTACTTGCAGCCCCGAGCATCTGTGCGCATGGCCTCACCGTTTTGGTCACCTAGTTGGCTATGGTGGCCGTTATTACGCTTATCTGATGGCTCGCGCTGGTGCGCTTCTAGTTTGGCGAAATTGCTTCGCCGATAATCCCTGGTCTTCATCGAGAGGTCAAGTGAGTTTACCCGATGTAATAAATATTTCTCACGATTTTTATAGTGTCTACTGACTAACAGTGAGTAGAGAGATCGTTTAAGGAGAAAAGTGTAACAGCACCGCCATTCTGACACCAGATGTAGAATTCAATCCCTCGACAAGTTTATTGCTTTCCTCAGTTCAATATTCGTTTTGAAATTATTGCCCCATTCATATTTCATGCATTTCGTATAATCCTTTTTTTGATAAATTACTCATCAATTTTACTATCATAAGGAGAGGTTTCTACACTATAGTGTGTAACAAGGATTACTGGACAAAAATGATTGATCTCATTGTTAGGAAAATACGCTTTACGTATTTTTGACTCTGGCACTTACACTGAACAACTGAATAGTCCCTCTCCGTCTGATGTAGCTATGAGTCGCCGAATGTCCTCGTCACCAATACGGGTTGGTTGGTGGTGCTTGCACACACATCAAACGAGCTTGGCATATTCACAAGATCATTACTTGGCAGTAGGCAACCTAATGACTTCCCCAGTCTATACCTTGTCGGTTTTGTTGGCAATCTTGAGAAGTATACTACTCTGCGTTCTGTGAATTGAGTTCACTGTCTTTATTACTGAGCAGAAGATCTTCTAAATACTGAATTCACTAGTCCAGCTGCGGCTCATCATAAAGAGTGCCATTTTAAAGCATCTAGATGGTTTCTTCAATATCTGATAGTTTTTATTCATGGTAAAATGGGTTAATCTTCTTTTGAGAGGAATGCTTGTAGACATCGAAATGATACAATAGATAGGAAAAAATCCAGAATTTTACCATCACTTGAAAGTTATACCGATAAGAGTCAAGTTGTGATAGCCCACTGGTGATTATTGGCAGGTGTATTCGTAGATGACTTGAATCAAACGAAAGTATGTAGAAAGTAGTTGAGATAATGCAGATGATTAGAGTCCAAAATGATCAAAAAGGTTGCGATCTAGAATTAATATCGATGCACAAAATCAATGTTGGGAGTGGATACATTAAATGATAATTGATATTAACCTTTCTTTCTTCTGCGTATTTTTCTACAGCTTTATGCGGACAAATTGCTACGCTTGGGTGGAGAATTTCATCCTTCTGCTATGATCTCGAACCTATTATCCGCCTGCACTCAGACCGACGACAATGAATCGAATCAACCACTGACCCCGGAGCAAATGGTCAGCGGTCTGATTGACGAAGTGGAAGAAAACGAACGTTGTGCTTCCTCTGTGCTCTCTTCCATGTATTCCCCAGGATTGCACCAACCTGGTCGAACACCTCGATGATCCGAGTGATAAGCACAGAACACATCTGCAATACGAAAACTCATGTGTGTGTGATCACGAAACCACCACATTAGTTCTAATCAGCTTACTGATTAGGCCCCTCAGATTCGGTTTGGTCATGATAATTATCTTCGTTTCCTTTTGTCAGTCGGTTGAAAAAATGTATCTCTCAGTGCATAAATTTCCTGCGTGCTTGGTTCTTGGTCAACCAATTCTAAGGTGCCCTCGTCTACCACTAACAGTCATTCCTGTAAATTCTGTTATGTACAAAACAATGCTCATAGTAGATTCAATCAAATGTATCATACTCAGAATAAAAGAATGTCTTTGATTTGAGTCATTGACTTTTCCTTTCTGCATCAAGTTGATGTTCTCACATATTCCGGTAGGTCGTAGATCCAGTACTTTCTATCCACCTGTGCGAACCCTTTGGATATATGGCTTTCATTCGGCCACGTGCATAGCACCGATCGCAGCCCTCATCAGTGATCAAGTAATTCATTCGGTGCACCGTCACGACGATGTAGGTTTAATCCCCTATCCTCGACCACATTCACTCTTCACCAAATTCTAGAACACAGGCATTCTTTTCGTAGATCTGCCATTTCTATCTTATTTGGCGTGAAAGCGGCTTTGCACCTTCAAAGTGTAAAGTTTGGCTTCAAGACGGAGTTGGCCCAGCATCCGGCCTCACTCTAACTGAGGGAGTAATAGACCAAGTGGATAAGTTTGGTTAATTGGGCAGCTACATGTCACCCGGTGGACGCATCACGGATTAAGTGTCAGCTCGCATACAGAAGGCTCGATTGGTATTTGTCAACCAGTGGCATCTGTGGGGCCGTCGCAACATCCGGCTGTCCGTGAAGGGTAGAGTATATGCTGCATTAATTCGGCCACTTCTGCTTTATGGTACAGAGACTTGGCCATTACGAGAACAGGATAAAAATAGATTGTCCATGTTCGAACACCGATGTCTACGCCGCATTGCACGAGTCTGATGAGGAGGGGGGGGGCGGACAAGTGATGCTGAGGTTAGGCGCAGAGTTTTAGGTATCGCGGTCCTCCACTGAACAACTTTTTGACATCAATACACGGCCTTGGTCGGGGTGTGTGTTGCTAATGTTTCCAGATAGATTGTCACGGCGCGATGCTTTCTGAGGCGCGTAGTATATGGAAAAAGTCCTAGGTCGTAACTCAGATCATGAGGGTATGAAAATCCTGACCATGAGACTTGCTCGCCTAGACGGCGTTAGGCTTCCTGGATGGGGACATTGGGATCATTGTAATCAATGGTTAGTAACCTTGATATGACCGAATATCGTAAACGGTAGTGCTGGCGCATCTACTCATCATCCTCGCAAAACTTAGTCCTGTTGAATTCTCTATTTTCACCCTGACACTGGTTTAAACATTCTAATATTCCCTTTGCTCCTTCATCCGAACGGGTTGTCTTGAGACAGCAACCAAAACCAGCGCACGAAACTGTGCAGTTAATGATTATAAAAACTGAAACTTAAGAATAATGCCCCCTTTGTTTTTTTATATAGCATGATATTATTCACCTTGTTGGTAATCGGACCCAACTATTGATTCGCTGGCGTGTCCTCCCCTCCCTGCCTCGTTTCTACCGTTACTATCACGGTTTTTGCTCTGCGCAACTTGCCGGTCCAGTCACTCCGCTTTAAGTTTTCCATCAGTTACTCTCACTAGGATTAAACGACCCACCCAAACCGGTTGTTTGTTAAACCAACTTTAAGTCCTTTTTCTATCTCTGTCTGCGAGCCGAGGAATGACGAGCACGGTACATTACTGCATTTTGCTTCCCTCATAACGTTTTTGTATTCACCCACAATCGCCTAGCTGTGTCTTACAAGTATGTTCGTTTTTCACAGCAGTTTTTATAATTATGGAATGTTCATTTTTACCTATCATGTTGTAAAAACAACTTTGGTTCAATCCGACGATTGTTGATGTGCTCCCTATGCATGGTGACGTCCCCAATCGTATACTGTTTGATTCAAAGTCAAAATTGTATGATTTGAAATACTTGAAAGTGGTTGTCTTTTTCTGTCTCTTGGGGTTTTTCGCATAAGTCGATGGATTAACCGACGATCATAGATAGAAGGGAAATGTCCCAAATTTTTGTTGTTTCGTGTACTGCCACTGATGTCGAAATATAAGCTATGATAATGATCCGTCCGATCTGTACTTGATAGAATCAAATATGGAAACAGAAAAAACAACACATCACGGGCAGAGGAATCACGCCGGAATTCTAATTGACTAGTTGCCTCAAGTGTATTAATGGATTCCGTGATTGCCACTACGTTCTTACGGTCTTTCATCATTTCTTTTGCGAATAAACCGCTTCCTTAACCGTGGCAACTCATACTTTAATTCAAATGTCAATGCTGGTAGCCAAATCTATCCTGTTGGATCTCTCCTTGAGCAGCTTCCATTCTGTCGGGTGGCGGTGCACAGTAAAAGTTCATCACTGGTCAAATGCAAGAATGCACATCACGTGACAACTTTGGAGAGGGGTTCTGTGTTTGAGTCAGCAATGCATTTCAAATCACTAGTCAGGTGTACCACAATGAAATAGTTTTTCCTTGATCAATCTGTTTTTTATCCGGTTTGATCCAGTATATGGATAGCAATCAAACTGACAGATGACAATACACAAACTTTGGCTCAGTGCGTGACTGGTTGTACAACTGTTTATACATTGCTCTGAATCGTCAGGAATAACATACATGTCGACCTGTGATGTCTGCACTCCTAAGACGGAAGGAGTTTCAACTCGCATTCGGCTATTTTATTTTGTTTTGTGGAGAATGCAACACAGCAGACCTGATTAAGATCGCTTTGGGCAAATGATGGAATGAGCTCAGTGATCTCTGGAGTTTTTTGGTGATATTTGTGACAATTGAGTTTCATACTTTTTTTCCAAAACCGAGCCCTTAATGACAGTAAACAGATATTTCTGGTTACCTTTGAGGAGAAGGCTTTTTCGTCGAGTTCTCCACTACTCGCTTGAAGAAGGAAATACTTAATGACTTTAGTTTTTAGCACCAGTTGTTTGAATACTGGACGGCGATTGCAAATTATTCAGTGCAGGGAACATTTGGTTAACAAAGTCTGTCCCATGAATCGCAGGACAGTTCTAATGGCTTCGTTTTGCGGGCTACACCCCACAGTCAACATGCTCAACTAGCTAAGTGAATCTGATGCGAATCAATCGCCGGTTAAAATCCGATAAATTGACTTCTCTTAGACGCTTGTGGATCAGAGTCGAAAACCAATTTGCTACGTACGCACTCACCCATCCGTTCCTGTTGATCGTCTAGTCATATTATGCAGTTGTCCTTCCCAGCTGCCTTGTCCATGGACTAGCTTGACCTAGTTTTAGACTTTCATTGTTACCATGGCACATTTTTATTCACACATCTGGGGCCATCCGTTCAAGATATACACCGATCACAAAGACCTGTTAGTCCTTGTAGGCGAAACGAAGGAAATTCAACAGTGATACTCCCCAAGATCGCAGAGATGAGCACTTCAATTAATTGCCTACAAATACGAATCGCACCGTATGACAGGGTCCAGTAAAGTAACTGCTGACGCGTTAAGTCGCCTTCCCATACTGAGGTAAAATGCTTGAACCCTCCCGAATTGATTAATTTCTTGCAATAACTGGATACTATCCCAATTAAAAGCAAAATTATTCAATAAACAGTGATCCATTTATTTCCACTGTAAAATGATTTATACTCTTAGGATGATCCAGGGCGGTCTCGGATGAACTATTCCCCTTCTGGCAAGGGAAAAATCAACTCACTTTACACGACGGTTATGTTTTCTGCGAAAGCTGCTTAGTCATATCCCGAAGCGCGAACTGCGTGATGCTCATCCCGGTGTTACTTGAATGAAAGCCCTACCATGAGGCTACTGTTGGTGGCCAAGGATTTGTCAACATGTTGAGGATTTATTACGCACGTTTGATGTATGCCAGAAACATTTATGTCAAAATCCTCGGGGTTTTGATCATTTGTGGCGTGGACCAGATAAGCCGTGGCAGAGGATACATGCAGTTTTTTCCGCCCTGTCAATGGAATCATGTACCACATTATGATTGGTACCCACTCGAAGTGGATAGAACTTCATCCAGTTAGTCACACTATGGCATAGACTACGGTTACTAAGATGAGTTCCTCATTTACCACATTTGATATCGAAAAAAACAATTTGCACCGAAAATTGGGCACTACTTTTCATTGTATACTTTCGAACAAATCTCCGCAACAATGGATTACTGCACATTCGGTCAACTCCGTACCATGCAGCATCAAACGGCTTGGAGGAGCGAGCAGTTCAAATGGTCAAACAGGGCATTCTCGAACAGAGCGGAGGAACTTCGCAAACCAAATTGGACCGAGTAATTTTTGCATATCGAACAACTACAACAACTAGTGGGCCATCCGCAGTTCAACTAATGCTCAGTGGTACCCTCCTAATAAGGTTACTAATACTGTCCCCTTACCCGCAGAGCAACGGTAGAAAGACAACAGGACAAATTAAGTGCTCAACTAAGTCGGACTGAAGATCGCTTGTATAATCAGTCCGACCCGGTTTATAGAAGACTCCCACATTATACATGGCAACCAGCAGCAGTGATCGCGTCCATTGAGAACATTGCAACTCTTGAAGCTCGGCGATGATGGAGTAGTTTGCCGACATTCCGGTCACGTTCGACCTCGCGCTACTGAAATTTCCGAACTCGGTGATAATCCACCCCGAAACTAATCAACTAACCAGTTCTGTCAATGCCATTTCACAAACCATCAACCTACATTGTGCGCTCTACGTAAGTACTACTGCATCCCCAAGCCAGTTGATCGCTGTGGAGTATCGCGTTCTATAAGAGACCGAGGGATGCCACATGGGTATTCGTTCATCTGTTCCTAATAGTCGTTCGATCATTTAATACAGTTGTTCATGAC